GCGTTCACTTAATCCATAACCGACTGTATTTACGTGAGATACTCTACACGATAGACATTCGGACTGCTGTGTGTGTATTTGAGCACTGTATTTTGAATGTCCGGTAGTCCTCAAATAACATTATAGTCCCGTCTCGTCTTGTTAACGAAGATGCGGCATAAATTTCGTCATAGTTTTTATAATCAGATATTAGTTTTAGCTCGTCAACGTCTCGTCATAGTCACAGAAAAAATGTTCGTTAACGAATATTTTTCATCGTCGTCTTCGTTGACGAAATTAACACTGCAACACACAAACCATTCACAATTGCTAAACTGGCCTAAAATAGAAGGCTCCGGTTGAAGAGTCGGCTCTTCTCATTTGCTACAAAGAATCGGCTCTTAGAGCTGGCTCGTTCGCAAACGACACATCACTAATTTGAAAGGATTATAAGGCACACAGGAATATAATTTCCCACAGTTACTCAACTTTTCACCTAATCACAAATAAAAGTACATGAGAAACACAATCATTTGGTTTCATATTTTACTCTAAGGAAGTCCAGGGTAAGACTGGGACAGGCTGTGCTCTGGACTGTGGTGCTGGAATTGGCCGGATCACCAAGCGGCTGCTCATGCCCCTCTTCCGTACAGTGGATCTAGTGGACGTGACACAGGAGTTTCTGGATAAAGCTCATACCTATCTGGGTGAGGAAGCCAAGCGAGTGGAGAACTACTTCTGCTGTGGCCTACAAGACTTTCAGCCCCAGCCAGAACGCTACGATGTCATATGGATCCAGTGGGTGATCGGTAAGGCATGTAATTCACTTCTTTTACTACATTATCTATGATAAGTTTTCTAAAATTGTTACTAATAGGAATGGTTAAAATGACCAAATGAATCTTCCATTAGGTCACTTGACCGATGACCACCTGGTGGAATTCCTGAGGCGTTGCCGGAGTGGTCTGCGTCCAGATGGCCTGATTGTGGTGAAGGATAATGTTGCGTATGAAGGTGTAATACCTGATGATGTAGACAGCAGCATGTGTCGGGACCTGAATGTACTACATCGCCTAGTAGCCCGGGCCGGACTCAACATCATCTGTGAGGAGCAGCAGCAGAACTTCCCTGAGGAAATCTATCAGGTCCACACTCTAGCGCTCAGATAGCTGCGAGCACTGAACGAGGGGGGTTTATGTGTTTGTTCAGAAGCCAATAATGTGAAAGCAAGTCAAGATCAATGTTAGCTACACAAGAAGCTACGTGTTACTGCCAATGTGATCACCGTATTTAAAAAAAGGCACAAGACTTGGTGACCTTGGGATTTTAAGCAGGGGAGTTTTCCTTGACGTTTAGAGTTTGTTATATGACAGATAGGGCTCTTTGCTATTATGAATCTGAATGTAAAAGTGGCGAATGGTAGTTTTTCAGATATTCAAACAGTGTCACACTCCAGTTTATTCTCAGTTTGAAGTCTTCTCTCTGACTGGTTTCATCACAGTGGAAATAAATATGATAGAAGCAATCAAGAAAAAATGTAGACCACACACACTGCTTCATTTTTATCAGTGGCTGTGCTGAAGACTTAAAAGGATAGTTGAAAAATTTAAATTGTCACAATCTCACCCTCATTTTTTCCCCCAAACCTGTATGACTGACTGACTTCTGGTGAACATGAAAGAAAATGATGGTAATTGATGACTGAATTGTCATTTTGGGGTGAACTTACCTTTTTAAGACAGTTTAATCAGTTTAGTTTGAGTCTATGGCACTGAATGGTGTGTAAAACCTTTTAATAACTTATATGACAATTTGAATCTATACTAGTTAATGTTACACGTGTGAATTTACAGCTGTTGACCGAAAACTCTTATCTGAACCATATGCTGTATTTTGCCTTGAATAAACTAATATTTTGGAACAGTCTTTGTATGACAGTGTTTATTGTCTGTAATAGTGGTTCTCAACATTTTTGACTCCAAGGCCCCTCATTGTCCAACACAATATGCACCTCCCCCTGTATACGCTATTTGTGAGATATTTATGGTCAGTCCACCTTGACAGTCTGCGGAGATCCTCTGGTTGAGAACCACTAATGAAGAATATACCAGTGTGAGATGGATGTATATTTCGTTCAAGATTTATTTTATGAAAAAAAAAAAAGAATTTAATTATTGTAACCGCCTAGTTTACAACTAATATCAAACCAAATTCATGGCCTGGTAGTGTGTGTGTGTGTTCATATACACTTACAGGTCCCAGTTGCATAGTCAAAGGCAGTGGGGAACAACTTGGGAGAAGAAAAGTGGTCGGACCACAACTGAGTTTTGACCATCTTTTAAACTTGGTGGAATCAAAGCACCATATACTCTAAACACCATTCATCTCAGTCCAAACTCACTTTCACACTTGAGGCTGTTGGTTATTAATGCTATGGGTTTAATAGAGAGATCAGGACCAGGTTTCACTTTGAAATCGTTTGGCTTTCTCCATGGCATGCAGCATCTCCTGTGCCTGGTTTTCAGACATGCCACCCTCTTTCTGGAATACTTCTTTCAGTGCATCACATACACTTGTGGGCATCTGCTTGCCATTCCTGGATGAAAAGGGAAGGGTAGCTCATTTCTGTGAAGCTCCTCATATATACTGTATGTAACTGTCATATTGCTCTATAACCAACTATACATTCCCTAAAAATGTAAATGTTTTACTAAATTATTCCTGCTGAAACTTGATGTTAAATGACTTACCCTGCTATGTAAAAACGCGTTCTTCTTTGCTATCAGATCCCATAAAAGTTTGCTTTGTTCCTTCACACGATGCTGCACATAGATTTTTTCCTCCTGTAAATCAATCAAATTAAAATGTACCTAATTATACCCCACAACCTATAAAAGGAAACATTTCCAGGCGACATGCTACCAAAAACAAATGAACACATTATAATGTTTTAATTATACATTTCATTAATTACAACTAATTACATTAACATACTGTAGATTCTTTTGAAGTAAACACATTCGGTATGGAACACATTGGATATCAAAAGTCACATGACCACAACGTATGATGATAGCCTAGTTGTTGTTGTTTTTTTTGTGTGTTCCTGGGACCTCCCCAGCACTGCACATTTAGGATATTTGGCTTATTAGACACCTATGCAGTATTCTTAAAGTTGTCTGACCTGATCTCTGGAGAAGGCTGTGACAAGGATCATCTGGCCCGCCTGCACCTTCTCCTCCCATTCTGATCGACAGTAGAAGTCTTTTGATTCAGACCGACAGCCAAAGAATAGCACATTAGCTGAAACAGGAGATTAGAATGTATTATGACTAACTATGCTGTGACTTAGCAACAGCATTATGTGTCATGTCACATTCAGTCACTACCTATCAAATTCTGTATTATCACACTATTCTAAAGGTATAATGAAAAAAAATAGGCCCCATGTCTTGATTCTTACCATTAGCCAAACTGCACAAATGAAGCAGAATATATCAGACATTAAGAGGAAGTGTCGCTCACAATAAACTTTATTAGCAAAATACAAGTTTGATCATCATTTTTAATCTTTTTCATTTCTGAAAAACTGCAAACTCCAACAAACCCACCCATCTTTCCTTGAGCAGCCCTCTCCTGTATGGCAGATCTGAAGGGAGCCACACCAGTCCCTGGTCCCACCATTATAACAGGGTTGTCTGGGTCCTGAGGGAAACTCAAACTCCCCTTCACCCACAGCGGTACGTATACATCTCCTAAATAACATTTAGGACACCAATAAAGATGGAAATTTTGAATGATTTGTACAGATTTCATATATTTTACTTGTCCGAGTACATTACTGACTGTTTTTATACCGTCTTTCAGTTCGATCAGACCAACCTTTATAGGGATCCAGTGATGCCAGCCAGGAAGAGCAGAGGCCTTTGCGTGGCTTAAAAAATATGCTTTTATATTTCACCACAGCAAGCAAGATGTGGATGCGGTTAGGGTGTTGCTGCGGGGGAAAAGGTAAAATCAGAAACAAATATTTAAATAAATATAAATGTTTAACACCACCGTTCTTTACTGTCACTTTTGATCAGGTTAATACATTCTTGCTAAATAAAAATATTATTATTATTTTTTTTTTTAATCTTACTAACCCCAAACATTTGAACAGTAGTCTATATAAAAGTAAAAATATTTATGTAAATAGAAAATATTTACCAAGAGAAAAGAGGCAATAGAGAAGGAGCGAGGCTGAATTTCTGGAAAAAGATCCAACAAGCAGTCAATGCTTATCTCAGCTGTGTTATGAGGGAAGTCTGCCAGTACCTGATCAAAAAGAGTTGACATTAGAAAGTCATTACACTACTTGTTTAATAATTACAGATATAATAACAAAACATTTTGTAAGCCAGAAAATCTGAACAAGCACACAGCTCTTGCATACTCATGACAACAAAAGACAGCGTATGAACTGAATCTACAGACATCAAAAAATCGTTGTATTATTTCACATCAACAGTCATGTGATCTCTGACCTCCAGGGCTTGTTTCAGTAGGAGTGAAGCGCATCCTGACCCTGAGCGGAGCTGAACTCCAAAAGTTTATCACGCTCCAGCTCATTAGTGGCAAAAGTGACCAACAACTCAAAGAAGGAACGGCGTGAAACTGCAGAGATGTCCAGGAACTGTTCCACCAGAAAGTGAACGGAGGCCGATCTCTGATCACAGAAAGCAGTATCTGCCGATCACCGATACCGATCTTTTTAAAGCTTTCTTTTTATAATTTATAACTATTTATAGTTATAAGTGTGCAGTGTGACTGCTTTAATCCGTTAACATGAGCGCGGAAAAAATACGCACCACATACCACGCACTGCAAACAGAGTAATGTGAACCTGGCAGATATAATAACAAAACATTTTGTAAGCCAGAAAATCTGAACAAGCACACAGCTCTTGCATACTCATGACAACAAAAGACAGCGTATGAACTGAATCTACAGACATCAAAAAATCGTTGTATTATTTCACATCAACAGTCATGTGATCTCTGACCTCCAGGGCTTGTTTCAGTAGGAGTGAAGCGCATCCTGACCCTGAGCGGAGCTGAACTCCAAAAGTTTATCACGCTCCAGCTCATTAGTGGCAAAAGTGACCAACAACTCAAAGAAGGAACGGCGTGAAACTGCAGAGATGTCCAGGAACTGTTCCACCAGAAAGTGAACGGAGGCCGATCTCTGATCACAGAAAGCAGTATCTGCCGATCACCGATACCGATCTTTTTAAAGCTTTCTTTTTATAATTTATAACTATTTATAGTTATAAGTGTGCAGTGTGACTGCTTTAATCCGTTAACATGAGCGCGGAAAAAATACGCACCACGTATGCACTGCAAACGGAGTAATGTGAACCTGGCGTTATGTGTGTGCGCTGCGAGTGTGAATGAGCGCACAGTCTCCAGGAGAGCGTTGAATGGTTAAACACTGGCAAGAATTAAAGAGTAATGCAATTTATAAACTTTAGTGACGATGTGACTGCCTCGATTGTGCAAGTGACAATTCCTGTGTCAACTGTGCAGCGTGCAGCTCGCTTATTAGACAGACGCGATGTGTGGTGATTTGAAGCCATTTGCGTATTTTGAGAGAGAGAGAGCGCGCGGTGATTCACTCACGCTGTTTGTGAAATTACGTCTCACACAAGGTTTTCAAATTACTTTGTAAGTTATTTTTAGCTCACTATCGTCAGCTCATATATTGACAGTACAAATGAATGTAGAACGGACTTCACTGGAACATCAGCATGTTGTCATGGAGCGCTTTACGGCAGAATTCATTTTGGCTTGATCAAACGTCATTTTATGACAGTTGCGCAATTCATTCACGACGCGTGTGTGTGTGTCAACCGTCTATCTATGGTGTCAACATGTAACCATAGACTGTAAAGAAAACGCTCCGGTTACTATCGTAACCTCGGTTCCCTGAGAACGGGAACGAGACATCATGGAGATATTTCTCCGTTATGGGAACTAGTGTTGGGTCGTTCTTGAACGATTCGTTCATTTTGAACGAATCTTTAATGTGACTCGGGAAGAACGAGTCGTCTCGGGGAGTGATTCGTTCAGTCGCGCATCCGCAACATCTTATAGGTTCTGTACTGGAATTAGTCAAGTAGTTCACCTGTTTCGAGTCTTCGGGTTTTTCGAGTCGTTCATTCATCACGTGACAGCCCCATAAGCTTTAACCAATGCAGTCTGAGCCGGAAAGAGAATTGATTAGTTCATCTCTCGAGTCCTCGGGTTTTTCCGAGTCGTTCGTTCATCACATAACAGACCCTATGCAGTCTGAGCCGGAAAGAGACTTAATAATAATAACCAACTCTTTATTTCCTTTGTTACAACATTCAGTGTTATGGAAAAGAACCATAATGACAGAAATTCACACATTTATAAACTGTAAGAATTAAAAAGCTACAATTTGAGACCAGAAACGCATCACGTAACTGTAAGAGTAAATAATAATTATAATAATGATAATACTA